AAAAGCAAGGAAAGACTTTTCAAGCCTAGAGTTCATTTTTGCTGATTGGCAAAGAAATCAACAAAATCAAGATTGGATAAAAAATACTTCTAAAAAGGGGACACAATGAAATAGGAATAAAGACTTATAGTGCAGAACAAAGGGTGGCTTCCCTTACCCCTGACGTTTTGCCTGGCAGAGCAGCGTCCTTTGGTCTTTCAGCAGGTTTTTCTGGTTCAGCAGATTTGGACGCAGGGAGACCCTCATATTGAGGAAGAGTTGCTGGGTAAAGCACAGCAGGCCACTCTACACTCACACCTGGAGCTCCCTGGAACATGAGCCTCTGCAGAAAACACATTACTACATTATAAACTATGATGTTTTCTCTGCGCAGGAAAATTGACAAAGGAAAAATGAAACGCCACAAGAATCTGAAAATGTGTTACAATCTGGTACCTTTAACAAGGCCAGCACAGACCCAAGGTCCTCTCCTCCACCGAATTTCCACTTTCCTCCTGAGAGACAACACTGAAGTCCTTTCAGCGCGGCCTGGACCACCTGCACAAGGAGAGGCATGGGTCAACTACGACTTTATGTATTGTTTTCTCACCTTCTGAAATGTTTCATAACAGTGCACTTCTCCTCACCATGCAGTAGAAAAGTTCATCAGTGTCCGGAGGTTTGGGTGACTGCAGTGTTTTCAGGAAGACACTGAAATATACACTTCTGTACTGATCATCCAAAGGGGGCTGACCAGGGATCCTGCAGGAAAGATGGTGATATGTCAGTCGTCAAAACGTTGTCATATAAATGCTTGGTTGTGTTTATGTGCTTGTCTGTTGCTTGTTTAAGCAACATTCAAAATGTTACAAAAACTAACATTATCATCCAATAGGAAATCTGTTAAGTATGTCATTAACACTCTTTTAGCTTTGTTTTGGGTCTCTACCAACCCCTGAAGTAAAGGTAAGCTTCTTTATGCTCAGTGTTAACCAGTCAGTTGGTATTTGTGTATTACTCCTTAGAAAATGTTAGGGAAGCTCGATATGCACTTGAACATTCTCGATATGTTCATGATAGTGATTGGACCCTGTTGCATAAATACATGTACAGTTTCGCTTGATCTGTAAGCATGCAAAAGCCTACCTGAGACAAATGTTGGCCATACAGTTTAGAGCAACACGGCGTAGCTCCATATTTGACTGAGATGGGGAACTATACTGCAGCAGGACTCCGTCTTCACGCAGCAAGTTGCTGAGGTGCTGTGAAAAAGGAAACGTTGAAGTGAATACAGTAACCATTTACAAAAAAAATCCCCTTTTCAGGCAGATTGTTAATGAGCCTACCTGGTGGCACTGAGGTCCATTACCATACACTATTGTGGAGAGTGCAAGGAGAACATCTGAGTGTGTCCACGTACTGCACACTTTTAACGCACTGGTTGTATATTTCACCAATATATCCAATGTGTGCTCATCCATTATTACCTACAGAACGAGAGAAAACAGAACTTAAGGTTAACAAAGACAATGCCAGCAGGGCTCAGAAAGAACATGCATGTAATTTACGTATTCAGTCATAATGGGCACATGATGAAAGCTCTGCTGTTACTTAGGGATACTCGTTACCTTGAGCTGGTTAAGTAGATGATGTATGAGCTGGCAGAATTTGATGACTAAATGTTCTTGACTCAGTGGAACAAGACTGCTGGCGTGCTTAAGCAGACTGCACACACCCTGAAATGGAAACAACCAGAAATGTCTTTCACAACAACAAAAAACTCATTCATATCACAAATGTTGATTTAGAGAGCAGGAGCTACACACCAATCAAAAGATGCAATTAAAGAAGTCTTGAATGAGTGTGCTGCTAAAGCAAAACTTACATTAAAAATCACTGAAAATTGTACACTTTACGCCTCATTTTAAAAATATACACCAGAAAATAGTACATTTTTAAATAAAACTATATCACTAAGTAAAATGAAAATTGAAAAAATGAAATTATTGAGTAAGAATACTAAAAATGTAAGTTTGCTCATGCCTGCTGCTCTTTATAACAGATAGACACACCTGTGTGTTTATTTATTAAGTTTTCTTTGTAAACTTAGTGCTAAAGTATATTATAAATGCAGTGGTGGTTCTAGACCACTTTTACGGAGGGGGCCAAACTGGGGCCAGTTGTTTTTTCAGAGGGGAACATTAAACCCAGGTGAAAAATAGACAAAGATGATCGCTTTAAAAAAGAAAACTATGCCAAATAATAGCACACAACATTAAATACTATGATACCATGAATACCATACAAATACTGTGTATGTGTTATGAGGGGGGCTCTTCCTTTTGGAGGGGTGGCCACAGGGGGGGACCAAGTTCAGTGTTACAGGGGCACTGGCCCCTGTTTGCCCCTGCCTAGAACCACCCATGTATAAATGGAAATTATTTGTATTCTGCTTCTAGCCTCTCCAACAATAAATTACTGAAGATGTTGTATTCTTTTGTGTTGTTCTGTCACCAGTGTTTGGATTGGCCTGTTAGTGCGTGTGCGTGACTGTGCGCTACGTTATCTCCAGTGACAGTGCGGGGTCCCCATGGGGGGTCCCCAGTCTCTGTCACCCTTATCTTTGGTTGATGAACACCTGCGCCAGTTTATCTATTGTTGTCAAGAAAAACTGAGTCACCTAGTTGTGAGAAAATGGTGTTTCGCTGTAAAACAGGTGACCGTGTTAACAGTGCACTCTTTCCATTTTGCAGCTTTGATCTCCATGCGTAACAGTTACCTCTGGTCGGATGTTGATAGTGGGGTCGAAGGTTTTGTTGTAGTTTTCGGAGAGAAGTTGGTCAAACAGTATGTTGAGCTCCTCCCTGAGTTGTGCCGAGTCTCCCCGCAGACCTCTGAGCTTTGAGGCGCAGCGGGAGAACTGTTTCTCTGCATCCGACGATGAGCCGAGCTGCCACCCGTCCATCCTGAGCGGGGTGAACGGGGCGGCCTCCGCGGACAGAGCCACCGAGGGATAAGCAGAGACATCACTTCGGCTCACTGTGGACACTTCAGACATCCCGGTGAGAGCCGCCATACTTTTTGACTCGGAAAGGGATGTTGCTTTGCTTAGTTGTTCTCGCTCTTCATTTGAAGTCTGACTTCCTTATGTGGGGCTCATTACTGCCTCCTACTGGGTATACCGTCAACTGCGTAATAATGCAGCAATACCTACATGTGAAATAACCATAGATCAGGGATGGGGCAACTTTGGTCACAGCAAGGGCCACATTCATTTAATTCTCACTGCCAGAGGGGCCAAATTGTAGGATACAAAAACGATTACAGTCAATTATGTCTCAAATTTAACTCAACATATACCAGTGATCAAATATTATTATGGACATATTTCTGGTTTTCATGATTTCATGGTAGATTTTGTCATGTTTTCTTTATGTTTTGATATATAAAAATTGACCTGAAGGCCACATTGAGGGTTGACGAGGGCCGCATGTGGCCCCCGGGCCGCATGTTGCCTACCCGTGCCATAGACTGTAGATATGACTAAAATTACATTTAGAATATTATAAAGTATTCCAGCATTCAATCGGGCAAAGGTTTGAATTGACTATTAAAGAATATAAGAATTTGACTTCTGATAAAGTAAATTGACAGTCAGGTCCACCGACAGTCTTTTTTTGAGATTGATTTATTTATCAATCATTGTTCAACAACACAACAATAAACAAAAATCAAGTAGTAGTAGGTTTAAATTAAATTAAAAAAATTAAAGAGAGCAATTCGAGGCTTTGGAAATTCCCATATAGTCCTGATGGCTTTCTTATAAGTCAGTTAAAAAAGTGTCTAATAATTCTTGTCTTACATTCGTTATCCTTCATGTTGAAGTTGGCAGAAAAACATCTGTCTTAAGTATTGACTGTTCACTTGGCACATTGCTGTCAAACAGCAGTTTTAAATAACATGCAAGAACTCCTTGCAGATATTTTAATACCAAATGTCAGTAAGAACTCAGTGTATGTGAGTAAGTCACCTTTGTCATCAATCAATAAAGAAATAAACCATATATTGTTTTGGCACCATTTGTCATAACAAAGTGACTATATTAGATTTTTTTATTTTCCCATATTAAATGTTTGGGGGGAGAGAAATTGTGTCTGTAAGCGAGAAGCCAACATAAAAGAGCAAGAGCACTTGTTTATTTACATCAAAATCACACTTTAGAAATTCTATGCCACCAATTTTGTCAAAGTTAAGATTAGAAATTGAGCGTATTAACTAATGTCTGTTCTTAGTATAGTGTCCAGTTCTACTTGATAATGTATATATGTATAATATATGGAACCAGGTATGTTTAAGCTGCCTTCATACATTCATTCATTTACATACTATATTTCTGTTTAAATAGTGGGGCTTATTTTTCCTTTCAAAAATTAAATAAATTAGATTCTATATTATTAACAAAATGTTTAGGCACATCTAAAACTTCAGCTGGATAAACTGAACGAGATAATCCATCAGTTTTTGATAGCAGTACCATCTCTTGATTAAGTAATCGTGACAACAGTCTTTAAATGAGATTGCTCACCGTCATGTGACTGTCAGGAACTTTGTACAATACTGCCTTTAAAACTTAGTGGGTACTGAATAAAATGAAAAACAAATACATATATCTGCAGGTTATATTCAACTCCTTCAGTAGGATATTCCCAGATAACATTTCCTCTCCCTTATTGGTAGTCAATACTAACATTTTAGAAACTAATTTTCATGAAAAAGCCTTTCGCCTGCTAAGTAATATCCATGCCACTTGCCAGGATCAGTTATCTGAAGAACTAGTGGTTGTCTGATCTGATAGAGCACTGCATCCAGTAGTTTTTTCTGGAGAATGGAAGAAATGTATTGCTGAAAATGTGATTGGTCCTTAACCTGAAACAACCTGAGTGTTCATGATGACAAATGATCAGGCCCAATAAGAGATCAAAATATTTGTAAATGCAAGTAAAGCAAACACCAAGCACATGTATACACACAGTTTGAAACCAATTTACTTTCTCAAAGGTCTTTTGCGATTTACATGTTGAGTTATTACATTACCAGAACCTCTGACAAATTACATTCCAGAGAAGTGCAACAGCAACACTTAAATATTCACAACGGGAGTGGAAACAGGAATGTTTAAACATGGACAAAACCTGACATCTCTCAGCAGGTCATATTCTTTATTCAGTGAAAGCAACAGCGTCTGCAGTTTCTATTCAACCTCAGTCTACATTGAAAACAAACAAAAAAAACATTCTAACAAAAAATTCTGTTGCTTGTTTTAATTACATGAAAAATAAGTTATTATACAACATATTCTTGTGAAAAAAATGTACATGGTCTGCGCATCACAGTACAGCAAAAAGAATATTCAGAAATTATGAATCATGATGAGTCTGTCACATGAGCAATGCTGACTAAGAGATGGCATGGGAAGTGGTTTTAACATTCACATTTTCCATGAAGGACACATCGCCAGTCCAGACAAACACCATCCACTTTCTGTGGACGTGTTGGAGAAGGCAAACAAAAGCTGGCTGAAGCAAGCAGGAAACCAGGAGGGGAGCATGTCTGCAGAAAGGTGGCAGCAAATATACAGCATGGCGCCAAGTATTAAAGGCTGAATTAAGAGGAGTTTAAGAACAGCTTGGATTTGATCTCAGCCTGACTTGAAAAGTAGAATGGCTACTTGACCCAGGTAGAAGTAGATGAAGTGCTTTGTCTCGTGCGTCACGTAGCTGCCAAAATTCCTCCCAACAATGCAATGCCATGTTGGGTTGTACTTCTTGTCAAACTCCTACAAAAAAGGATAAAAAATTACAGTTACAGATAAAAGACTACTCACAACATGCATTACAACTCTTTTAAAAAAACGGATCCAACGTACCTTTTTGACATAGGCGGCGATATCCTTCTCAATGTTGTACTTCTCCATGGCCTGCATAGCACAGTCCACTGCGTCCTGCTGCATTTCATCAGACATGTCAGCATTCTTGATCACTGCCTTCTTGTCAGACATGTTGGCTTTTTGACTGAAAAAGGAGAAAAAGTCATATTCAGATTCCACACGTTTCTTACTAGTCCCACAAGTCTCTATGTAACAGAGTCTCACTGTCCGCTCTCAGGACTGCAACATTTGCTTATAGACACAAACAAGTCACTTGACTGTTGCTATTGGACCTTCTGAAAGCTAGGATTTGCATGATTTGCAAATGAGCCAAATTGAGTCTAGCAGCTTATCCAAACTGAATAGACTGGATAAGAGGGCCTTGTGAAAACTTTTAAGGAAAGCCTTGATGTCAAATAACATCTTCTGGATCACTTATCGTAGTTGGATAAGATACATCACAGTTGGTTTGTGAGACATAGTGGGTCATGTTTGCAAATATGAGAGTTGGCAGTAAAAGCAGAGAGGTCACTTGACATTATCCAGAAACACATCCCTGACAGAGATACAGAGATGCACTTTCACTGTTAGGCTGACAGCAACGTAACTTTGGTTTAATGCTGCTAATAAAATTAAATTAAGATTCTTCCCCTTTTAACAAACCGGGCATGATATTAATTCCAAGTGTTGCTGTATTCAGAAAACAACGCAACATAAAGTGGAATATAGCTCCTCTGGTCAAATAGAACAAGAGCACACGAGATTAGCATGCAAGCGCCAAGAAAGCTCAGTATCACTCTCACCTGCAGATAGTGATGAAGAGAGTTAAATTGCTGCAAACGGAACCATGCACACACTCACATAAACATGTAACTCACCGTCTTTGTGTTAAGTTTTAATATTTAGAAGCGTGCGTTGCGAGCAGCTGCACAATTCTTGGTTCATTTAAGAAAGGAAAGCGTGAGTGTTAGCCCCGCCCTGCTCACCACCTCTGCTGGCTGATTGGCTGGAGCGAAGCCTCCACCCTGGTGACGGCGATTTTCACTTGCGGACAGTTGTCTGCATCTTATTTCCACCCAGAATGCACCGTTTTCACCCCCCCCCCCCCTCCTTAACTTCAGAGGGGAGTGATCGATCCAGTTGATCGTGGTGATCGATTGAATTGATCTGCACCGTGAAGCCAGCTTGCACACCAAGCGAAACAGGGACGAGAGTATGCATGATCAAGAGACTATTGATTACAGTCAGCTGTAATGCCCAAAAAAGAAAAAGAAATGCACAGCACTATAAAACAATGTTAATGTATTTAGGGGCATCTACAGTGCTTTGGAGAAACTGTACGCATCTCAATTATTTATCCATTAATAGGTATAGGCTACTGTCTGTAATGCAGAACGATGACGTAATTGACGTCCATTGTGGCTACCCCATGCTGAGACTGTTTGTTATTCATCTATCCTGGATAATGTGTTCATACCTTATGTGTACATTTACAGTCTTTTGGTATATACCTGTTTATTGTGACAAGATATTTGTAGATTGAATTCAAAACAATTTATTTTTTTTTGAGCTTCTGGAAAATGCCATTTGAAATTCAGTGTGACATACAAATCAACATTTAATTGTAAATCTCAATATATTCCTAGCACAGCTTTACATTCAGAAATGTCAATTTAACAAAATAAAACCACACTTCTTTACTTTTCATTATAAAAAACCGAATCATTAAAAACGATTACCTCGTGAAAAACAAAAAAAAAGGTATTAAAACTGTATGATTTAAGGTTTTCATTTAATATTGTTTATCTTTTACGTACCTCTTTCTAATTATTCATTTCATGATATTGCACTTATGCTGTAATTTTGTATGTATACATTTCTACTCTGTAATAAAGTTTATTGGACAAACATTTTCTCGACCACACTACAATACGATTACATTTTCTAAACGCAAATATATTTTAATTAAATGTGCTTCGTAAATATTTTGGTTTGTTAATATGTAATTGATCTTTTCTCCTTATTTGGGGAAAACACAAGTATCAACCTGAAAGGCTGAGGTTGGATGTGACGCAGGTTAAGTAGTCTTTGGGATGCATTTGAAAGACTGGGAAATAGTAGCTTTTGGGAAACTTCAGTTAACTTCTGGAAATCAAAAAGGAAGCTCTAATACATGTTTTTGTGTTTTTTTAAACAAAATGAGGCCAATTAGGATTCTCTAACTATTTCATAATAAAATGATTTGCTATTGTAAACTGACCTTAATGTTCAAATGATCAATGTACACTCTGCAGACACCTTTTTTTCATATTTCTCTGCTGGAGGGGGTTTCTTCTTCAACCCAAGTTTATAATTATGATTTTGATAAACATAATGGCCTAACAGACTCAATGTATCAACCAATGAGAGCCCAGCATGAAATCTACCAACCTGTGCAAGTCACCATTGCTCAATAGGGATTTATTATGGATTTTTCAGTGTGCAGAATCTTGAACAAGTCAGATTAACTCGCTGGTTTTGTTTGGTAGAACCCGTTAATAACATTTCCCAAGCTTTGTATTTTTCATTGTTTCTAATAAGTGTCTGAAGTAACTCTTAGTGAATAGTTTGAGCAAATGCACAGGTAACATGTTCTCCCCAAACTTTTAAGGAAACACAGAAAGAAAGAGACAATCATTAAATTTGTGTTATTGAAATTTTTATTAAAAGAGAATAAAGCCTTTAGATGCTGAATAATTAACTGAAAAAACAAAATCATCCTAAGAAAAAGACTTACTTACGAAAAAAAAAAATACAAACCACATTTAAGTCAAATTCCATTGTTGCCTCCTGGTCCTCCCTCTCCCCTCCCTTCTTCACTGTTTACAGACTCCCACTACTTTCAACTCTCCTTAAGCGTGTGGATCCATTCTGCACCTCCCAGCCCTCCTCCTGGTTTTCAGCCGATCTTTGCTGTTCTTTTTAATAATTAAAAATTCTTGCTCGAAACTGTGCCGCCAGATATGGTTTTTTTTTAAGGGGGGAATTTACTAGCCAATTTAGTTTGAATGTATTTCACTTCAACTCTTCCGGTTTGACAGGGTTATGTGGACAGAGTCACGGATCCTCTCCCAGTAAAATGTTCCCGTGCTACTGCTCCATGAATCCATCCTGAAGCCTAAAACTAATCCTGATCTGATCCTGAATCCTGATCCGTCTCCAGAATGGGGAGGCAAAGAGCCCAGTCCAAACCTTCAGAATACCAGCAGAACCAAAGAGAAGGAGGCAAGTTAGAATCACACCTTCAGAAAATAAAGAAAATATCAATAAAATGTATCCATGAGGGACTTGACTTTGAGAAGAAAAAAAAAAAGGGACACTAGCTAATAATCAACCCCAAAAAAAATAAAATAAAACTTACTTTGGCTACTGAAAGATTTAAGAAAAAAAAAACCAGAAATGTTCAGTCTCAACATACAGACTTGTAACCACTAAAAACATTTAACAACAAAACTCAATTGTCAAGTTTTTGAAAATAAACTTGTCAGCCTTATAATGCAGATTTCACAGTTGACAGGGCACAGCAATCATACCATTGGTGCCATATTTGACTCCTCCTCCTCCTCCTGTTTATCCTAATATGAACTGTTTCCTCTGTTCCAATCCTATCCTGTTCCTCTGAACTCTACAGAGAGACACACAAGAATGTCAAAGGACAGTAGTATATGTATAAAAGAAGTATAGATTTTTTTTTCTCCAAATGTAACATAAAACATACAAGGAAAATGATGAGATGAAGTAGAGAAGCCAGAGAGATGGTGAGCAGAAAGCAATGCTGATAAGAGAGGGGGGGGGGGGGGGGGGAAGTGTATGAAACAGAGCCATGCACACAAACAAAAAAAAAAAATCATTGTGCAGAAATGTAAAACTGCAACCAAACCCCGAAAAAAAGGGAACCCAAAGCAGCAAGAGAAAAGGGGGTGATACGAGATGATCCATAATGAGTACACAGGGGTTGTTATGTGATGTGAAGATTTCCTCTTCGGCTCTGAGGCACGTTTGCTTTGGTTGACTTGAATCTAGGTGCGGGAGCGAGAGCGGGAGCGGGAACGTCTCGGAGAGTAACGTGGGGAGCCTCTGCCACGGCGAGGAGAGTAGCTGCGGGATGCGCTCTTGCTTCGGCTTCGACTGCGGCTACGAGAGCGGGAACGACCGTAGCTGGGGCTGCGGGGACCGTCCGCCTTCACACGAATGTAGGCCGTCTCTCCCTAAACACACACATGACTTGTCAATAATAACAACCGTGTGTAATGCAAAACATGAGGCTCTGTTAGACGAAATGTTGGGCCCATACAAGCCATCATTTTGTGAAAGAGCATAGAACCACTGTGAAGGAACAAATATATATCATATTTGTCTGTTAGCTGTTTACAGAAATCATGTTCAACCAACAGTAAATCAAACTACATGTTTGTTTAGTTCAAGTATTCTGATAAATAGTTAAGTCATTGAAGATTTTCTACAGTCAAAGATAATCTTCAATTCACAAATCCCAGGCATAAGTCAGAAGTAATCATGCAAACCAGCATTACATGTTTATTCAAACTTAACTTTGGCCTTTACTTACTGCAGTAAATACACTTACAGTTTTCACCCTTGCTCCTGCTTTCCTCATTTGAGAAAACTTCCAATTCCAACACGTAGTCCAAGAGTGATTCTTTATCAAAGTTAGCCAGAGGCTGTGACCCTTTACGTACCTCATGGGAGCGAAACTTGGTGTTATCCAATTTACGGACAGCGTAGCTCATGTCCTCTTTGCGGTCAAACTCCACTACCCCGGTGCCATCACGGAACACGTCAGCATAACATACATCACCTGCCTCTCGCATGTGATCCTTTAGGTCCTGCCAGCTTCCACTGGGAGGTAGGCCTGGTGAGAAAAGATTGGGGGGGGTTTAGACTCGCAACATTTATCAGCAGACGTAGAATGTAAGACGAGGTCCGCAGCACTCACCTGAAACAATAAGCCTGTACTCTGAGCGACGGGAAGGGGGTCCTTGCCTTCCCCTCGGTGGTCCCATTGCTCCACCGCCACCACCTCCACCGCCACCAGCTCCGCCACCCCTTCCACTTCGCGGAAACTCAACACGCAAGCGGTAGCCATCGTAGTCATAGCCGTCACGTCCATAAACAGCATCCTCAGAATCCCTTTGGGGAAAAAACAAACAAACAGTCAGGACAGGAAAATAAAAAACATAGCTTTACTAGTTAAGGGTCCTGGGTATCAGTTATCTTACCACTACTGGAAGATGCTAATAAAGTGCGGTAGTGGTATTTTTTTTTTTTTTAACCCTAATGTGGAATATCTGGAGTTAAAATCACCACCATGAGATACTTTAAATGGGAAAATGTGCTACACAAGAACAGAAAAATTAATGAAGTAGGTTCAACCACCAGATAAGACAAAAGGAGGGCTTAAGAGTCACATAATTTACTACACACCATGAGTGCACACCTGTGATCCCCATTTTTAATGATAAACAAGCGGATCAAACATTTTCTTTTGTTGCATGAAATTTACATAGTTATTTTCTGGAAAATAACTGAACTGATTTTCTTTGAATGCTTTTAAATCCAGGCTGAGAGCACCTGAGACGACCTCCTTTACTTGTAACTGTGTGTGTTTTTTTTTTAAATAATTTTAATTGCTAATTGTTTTTTTATAATTTGAATTGCTGTCTGTGTGTTGTCAGTGTGACTCTGTAACTTTTACTGCAGGACTCCCTTGGAAAAGATCGCAATGGGACTTTCCTGGATAAATAAAGGTTAAATTAAATTAAAAAAATAAAAACGTGCACGGTGCCGAAGCTTGATCTAGAAAACTCCTAATATTAAAAATCATTATCTATATAATCCTAAATCCCTTTGTCCATCAAGTAATGGCTTCACCACTGCAGCTCTGATTGCTCACACCCCACGTGTACTTCTCTGCAAACAAAACCCCCCGT